TTTTTTTTTTTTGGGCAGAACTAGGGATTGAACTCAGGCCCTTGCACTTGCCAGGCAAGCGCTTATTCTACTGAGCCATCTCCCCAGCCCACCATGTGTCATTTTTGACATTCTCTTTGTTCTAGAATCCCAGTAACTGGGGTGGGATTCTTCCTGGATAAGAAAAGTAAAGAGATGCTGGGGATGGTGGTGGATACCTATAATCTCAGCACTCCAGGGGCTGAGGCAGGACAATCACTGGGGATTTGAGGCGACTGGGTTGTAGAGTGAGTTTAAGGAAAGCCTGGACTAAGCAATGAGACTGTGTCTCAACTATGGTAGGTGTCTTAATGGGCTGGCAGTAAATGTAATTCAATATTAGGGTCTAAATATGACTGGAATTTTTTATTTGTAGTACCTATTGCTTTCACTTCATAATGATGAATAACTCAGCTTTTAAAAATGATTTGTGTGGGGTTTTTTCCTCCTTTGTGGCTATGATTAGTATATTAAGTATCCCCATGTGTGTAAGTCACTGGAGAGGAATCTATGCCATATGTGCAAAACTGAAATCAATTATTTCAGCATTTAACACATGCATTAGAAGAAGAAACAATATTAGAAATATAAACCAATTATATTTAAAATATTCTTTGAGAAGACTGGAGCCACTTTTATTTCGTTAATGTATTTGCAAGTATTTGTGATTTAATTTAGGGCCCTGTTTGCTAGAGAGTCACTTGACCAGTGAGCCACATCCAGCACCTGGCATCAACCAGTTTTAGTGCTTAACAGCATCTATGCAGGACCTGGCATTCTGGAACGCACTATGAAGGAGTGAGTTTTGCACTTGGGCACCAAAAAAAATGCTCATAGCAGTATTTTTGATAAGAAATTGGAAAGAGCATAACTGTCCATCTAGGATATACATTTGTATATATAAGTATATAATGGCATTGCTACTGCAATGAAAATGTAAGCTTATCTCTTGTATAAAAGGTAGTGAATGCTGCCACCCACCTGCCCACCACTCAAGAGGTTGAGTCAGGATTGCCTTGAGTTCCAGGCCAGCCTGAACTACATAGTGAGAACCTGGGTGTTTGTTTTTGTGGCTGGCTTAGCCACCCTGGGGGCAGAGCTGGTTCAGCATGTGGTATGG